TGAGCTAGCCAGTCGCATCAAGGATGGGCAAGATAAGGCAATAGGAAGAGGAAAGGATTGCAACCGGTCAACTTTTTTGTCTTTTGCTTGGTGAGTTTTCAAGAAGTATGTAGCTCGATTTCATCTTTCAAAGTTGGGCCGGATTCGTGAGACTGCCTCGCAGAAGCCAAAGAAGAGCGCACTGGAGAGAAGAAGCCCGTTTTGCGACCCAGATCCATTCGTGCCCAGCTTTCAGCTCGACTCCCAACACAGACACCAGCAAAACCGGAAACCAGGCTTTCTGTAAAAAGGCAGAGGAAAGATCCTTGTTTGTGTTTGGTGGAGTGCAGTGGTGCGCTTTAGGCAAATGATGCTCCCCACGTTGACAGTGTCTTCCACATGATACAAGATAAAGAAATGAAGGCTACTCAGGATGACCCAGACTGGGTCGAAACAGCCATACAGTCTTTGGTAGACATATCTGATCGGGATTCAACGGCCCTGTGAGATCCACTGATTTCATTGCGAGAAAACTAACATTATCAGTCCCAAAAGCAAATTAAGCGACTGCGGGAGACCAAGTACTTCTTCCTTCTCTAGCACTTTATGGTCCTCTGAACCCTCTCATTCTCTCTCCACCTCTGCTTCCACTTTTATTTCTCCCTTCTGCAAATTGCTTTGTGCACTTTTATGGTAAATGGAGGCAATAAACTAATGGATGCTTGGATGAACTTCAGACCGGCCCCGCAGTAGCGCAGCCAGTCCTCCCGCAGAACAAGGCTCGAGGCTTTGGGAAAATAAGGGATGAACCGACCGGCACCCTCTTCGCTCCACGAGGCCGGAGTCTTCTCGCCTGCGCACCCCCGATTCGAGCTCAAATGATCGGGCTGCACTACACCTTCTCTCGCGAATTGGTTGTAGACAGAAGCGATGCCAACTGAAGTGGCAATGTAGAACGACTGGTGTATTCTGGTGTTATAGACACTATCAAGTATTTACACGATCCTATTGATCACTCCGAGCAAGATCGAATTTATCCGTCATGACAGCGGCATTTTGGCTGGTTCTTCGTTATAACTGCGAATGAGCGTGGTCTTGTGAGCTGCATCTAGGCCTGTAATGCAGTCTCGACCAGGTTGGCTACATGAAAAGTGAAGGCTCAGTGCAGACTGGTCGAGATCGATTAAAGGATGCGCTATAGGCTGTGCAATAGTGACAACGCCAAAGCGACAGTTCTTTGGGTCTTTGTGAAGTCAATCTGGGAACCCATCCGGAGGACGTTCCGCAATAAATCAGAGGATCACATTGACAGGCACATGAGAAGAGCAAAAAGCAAAGGGGAAAGCCGTCGCAGAGGCCAACCCAAGGATGTATGATGCAATGCAGAGTAAAGAAGAGGATTAACAGAGGGTGTCTGAATGAAGGATGACTATAAGCGATAGGGTGAACCACAGACAGAAGGTGGGGCCTCGTAAAGATAAAATAAAGCAAGGTTTCGAAGAAGCTCATTGTCATTTTGCGTGAATTGACAGCTGTATTTCGAAGGGAAATTTGGCTGGAATGAGTTCGTGAATTTGCCATCCCAACACCGTAAGAGGATTGCCCCGAAGTGAAGAAAGTTGGATTGTGAGAAGTCATCGGCTCACTGATCTGTGAACCCGATAAAGCGTCCGAGCATGCTAAAACAAAAGAAAAGGTGGTCGGCTACGAATCTATTCACTTCTGATAAGCGATTTTGCAATCCTAATGGGACATCTCATGATGCGTTTGGCTACTTCATTCTAACCTTGCAGGATGGCAGATGGGTCAGGTCGACGCACAAAAAGGAAGTGGTTGTGGCCACAACTGTTTTCTTACAGAATAAATCAGCATTTAAACCTGAAATGTTGACGGATGTCTGGGTATATGGACTGTGTATTGCCTACATGCGATGTCAAAGTTATGCTGGGTTGTGGTTATTCCAGCCTCCTACTCACAGACGAAAACTTAACACTGGTTCATCAGATTCGCAGTAATCAATACTTCTTCGGTCACTGGAGCAGCCGATTCACGAATTCCTTACAGCCAACATATCCTTCAAAAGGAAAGTCATGTGTGTCACGATAAATCATTAAGAAATCTTTCCAGATCCACTTCCATTTGATATGCGAATGAAAGCAATCGCAATGAGGGCTTCCCCAAGGCTTGCCTCATCGGGTGGTCCAGGTTGCGCATAAGGGTACACGCATATTAGCATAGCATTTCGCTGGTTGACCTGGCAACGGAGTCCATCTATCCACGAAAGACATTTTTCATCGATAACCAAATAAATGAGCGCATCAAAGGATATCATTCGACAGCGGTCAAAGAGCGAAGTAACCCATCGACGACAGGTTAACCAAAGCACCATATCGATTGTGACCAGCCGGGGCGACTATACCGGTACCAAGAGAGCGTACGACTTAGAGAAACAAGGCGCAACCGGTGCGAAGCATTTTGACTGTCAATAGAGCTAACGAGAGAAAGGCATACCAGAAAGCCACAGGTCAGCAGAATCAGGTTGGACTAAAAATGCAGACGAAGAGCTCACCTGCCGAGACGCAGGCGACGAAAGCGGAACGGAGAGGAGTGGTTCTTAAGGAAGAGGGAAGTAAACCGGAGGGCTTCGAACTCAACAGAAACTGGTCTTCGTGTAATGCATGTTTTCAAAACCTTGGCGCTAATACCGGCCTGGCAACATATTAAATGAGCGCTTCACATAAAGAATCCAGCTGTTGTGACCAAAGTGATTGGTAAGGCTATGGTATGTGAAACCGAGTATCGGCGAACGTCCTCACAGACCTGGTGATTCTATGATCAGCCAACACCTACATATTGGGCAAAGTCTTTCAATGACCGTTTAGTTTGCGTCCGCATCTACAGAACGACAATTGAGGTGCAAAAGCAATTCGACTTCATCGCAGGATCGACTTCAAATTTCTCTTCATCGGCTACTTCGCGTTGACTATACAGCAAGCTATTTTGGCCTTCTCGCCGTGGCTCCCTTGTTCCTTTATATCCCCATGCTCACTTACTGTTAGCATGAGCATACCTAAAACCAATTATGGTTATACACCTCGTAATCTCTATACAACTTGAAGATCACATTATTTAGACTTTCATCCCTCCATAAGGTCTCAGGACGGGTCCCGAGGCATAAGTTGTTCAAAGCGTAGTCACATCATAATAATGGGGGACCCTGACAAGGTATTATGCAATTTTTCATTTGTTTAATGTACTGTTTTAACTATTTCATTTTTTGAGGCTACCCAAGTGAGTTGGCCCCTAGTGGGAAGTATTGTTGTGACTCGTGTCAATCCATTCACACTATATCAAGTAGCCTTGTAAACTTTCTGATCACAATATCACTTGAATGTCATATTCCTTATACTTAAATCCTTCAACTAGACCTCAGGAAAACATTGAGTCAAATCATAATACCAGAGGGCACGACGATGGGATCGTCGCATTTACCGAAGGACTTCTCAATACACACTCACTCAGTCAGAGCGGAAATTATCCTAATAATCATTTAACATGCAGCATACAAAATAAACAAGGAGAAAGCAAGATCAAATTCGTCATCATCAAGCTCGAAATAAACTATGTTGGGGAGACTTTCATTTCGTATGAAAGTGCATGAAGAAGAGATTCGTAGGTCGATCTCACCCAAAGAGGGCGGATTAATTTTGTTGTACTGCAGCCGTTTAGCTTTTATACGACGTTCATGCTGATGCAGTCTACGAAACCTCCTCCCTCGTTTCTGATGAAAACCGACGGAGCTTTCGTCCATCATTTTATGGACATCATCAGAGCTGAATCCCATTCTTGTAAAAGTATCACTTTAACACTAG